CTTATTCACTCCAGTCTTTCTTTTCAATTACCAGTTTGGCTGACCTACTGCTATCTTAGGCTCAACGTCACGTGCAAAGATCACAGCTTTCTCTCGATGTTCCCTTTAGCTCCCACAAGCATGTTAAGTCTAATCCTGTCACAAACCCTTCATTCACTACCACTCATGCTGCTTCTGCTTGAGTGAACTTTGACACATTACGGCTGAGCACATTGTTTTAACCTGTAAATTCACACAAGTCCCCAGATCACAGTCTCAAATCATCGGATAAAGCAAGAAATGTGTAAAATTAAACAATTAAATATTCAAGTGGATTTGTGTGGTCCCTCAGTATGAATAACTATGGTAGTTTTGTACTATAGTTTTATACTTGGCTAAGCTGGGAGTTTCCCAGAATTCTCTTCTCCTATACGGCCCCAGATTATACTTGGCTAAAAAAAGAGATTTATGCAAGGGTTGAGAGGGAAATGAAGCAGTCATAACTCTGAAGAAGCTATAGTTAGAAGTATCACTTATTGAGTCCTAACTATGTGCATCATTTCATTAAATGGTTCCAAATCCCCCATCTAATCTGGTTCACTCATCCTTCCAACTAATAGTTCAGAAATACCTGCTAGTTGAGTTAATGCTCCAGGTCCTCATTGCCATTTGGGATTATAGTCTGGGACCAATGTCTTCTGAGGTGACCCTGTAGCCTGTCAGGGGTCTTCTGATAAAGAGTCTGACACACATATACCGCCTATTACTGGCTTGTTTCTCCCTCTTCCCCATCCTCAACCTTAATTTTTGTCCAAAGATACAGCCTTTGACCTTACTCAAAATCATGTTCTCTTAAGAATGAAGTCTGGCCCCAAATTGTTTCCTACTGACTGAATCCTGCTACCATGGTCAGGTCTCAGATTGGAACTGTCTTGGCCCTGAGTGTCAACCCTCCTGGGCCTATGTAGTTAGTGCCTGTGGCCCCATGCCACCGAGGTTCCTTATACCATATGAGGCATGGCTTCTATTGGCCACCACTTTGTACTGAAGCCCTTCCCCCACCAAGCCCTCTTATTTTCCAGGCACAACCAAGGTGACTCCCCTACTTGGAACTGGCCTGCTGCACCTACCTGGGCCTCTACAATCTGTATTGTAACCAGGTCTCTTTCCCAGCACTTGTCCTATCTCAGGGGGCAGGTGTTGTGACAAGGCTGCACAGGTTGTACAAGGATCAAAGTTAGCAGGGCTCTTATGAAAAATATTCAAGTGGGTTTGAGTGGCCCTCAGTATGAGTAACTGTGGAAGTTTTGTATTGTTGTTTTGTACTTGGCTAAGCTGGATGTTTCCCAGCATCTCTTCCCTATATGGTCCCAGGTTACATGGCTAAAAAAAAGAGATTTAAATAAGGTTTGGAAGGCAGAAAGGAAGCACCAGCCATGACTCTGAAGAGTGCTGCAGTGAGAGGTGGTGAGACAGATGCAGAGGGGCTGGGTGTCTTCCCTGTTCCCTGCTGAGCTTCGGGCACTTTCCTGTCAGTGCTACTGACTGATAGCAACCCCAAGCTCCACAGCAATGCTTGGCTGCAAACTGACAGAAGTAACAGTGACAGACGAAACATCCTTTTCAGACTTCATCAGCCTCCTCCATGGTTCCTGGCCCAGCAGCTGGACAGACCTCGCTTCCAGATTTCCTCATAAGCTTTAATTTTTTCATTTACACCATGACTTGGGGAAGACTGGTGCTTTCTTCCTAATTTTATTTATGTTCTGGTGATTACTGGGGTTTGGACTCAGAACCTCGAGCTTGCTAGGCAGGTGCTCTACCACTGGAGCCACATCCGTAGTCCTTTTTGCTTTAGTCATTTTTAAGATAGGGTCTAGTGTTTTTTGCTCATGCAGGCCTGGCCTGAGATCTTCTTACCTCCACCTCCCGAATAGCTGGGATTGTAGGAATGAACTTATACTGCACCTGGTTCTCTGTACCTGGCCTCTTCCTAATAATAGTGAAGTGTGAAGACCAAAAAACAACTTTCTGCTTAAAAAATGCTAACTTGCCTTCCTAGAATTTGACCAATATTCATTCAGAAATCTCCCGAGTTATGTTTTCTTTTGAGTTCCAGGCCTCTTTTGCAAGTGCATCTCTGCAATTATGTAGGGAAAGGGGGAGATTCCCCCCACCGCTCCTCACCCCTATTTTGAGCATTTTTGTAGACTAGGCGATAGTACTTTGACTGATTTTTTTTTATATGTCCTTTGTTTTAAACCCTTTACAAGAAATAATTTGTAAAATGGCTTCCCAGTCGACTATGTAATCATGAGCAATTTGCTTGGTGGGAAGTAGGGAATGGCAGGCATCCTTAAACGAGTTAGAGAAATTCTAATTACTTACACCTGCAGAAGCTGTCGCTTTTGTGAGGTGTGTAATTAGCAGCCTGAGCATGTGCTGGGAAATGAGATTGTCTGTTTAAATAGAGGGCATAGGCCAGAGGCCACCTAGCCTGGGCTCTCCCACTGTGCACATTAGCCCAGCCTGGGCTCTATGGCTAGCCACTTGTTAAGGCAGATTGCAGGCTGAATGCATGACAATTGAGCCCACTAACTGTTCCTTGTGCAAAGCAGGTGTGACTATTAAAAAAAAAAAGGGGGGATGGGGGGTGTCTTTTTTGACTTTGTGATTATCAATTTTCTGCTTTTCTAGCCCTGTGGGTCTTAGCCTTGGCACATCACAATCACCAGAAACCATCCCAACAATCCTCATGCCCAAACTGCACTCACACCAATTAAAGTGTCTGTGATATCACTTCTTAAAGCTTCCCAGGTGATTACACATGTGCCACCAAGTTTGAAAACTAGTGGTTTGCAAGCTCCAGCGCCTAAGATCAGCTGGAGGGCTTGTTAAACTACAGGTTGCCAGACCTCACCCCAGACTCAGTAAGGTGAGGGGTGGGAACATCCAAACATTTGCACTTTTCATATTTATTTTGTTTAATCTTTTTCACAAAGCTGTTTCATTCTCATCCTTCAGGTCCCAGAAAAATGCCACACCTAGCTTCAGTCTATTCTTTAAAAGGACACCTGCCCCAGCTATCTGGCTTGTTTCTCTTTGGGCCTCAAGCAGTCTGTAATGTTTATTTCCTGTCTCTTCCAGTTGCATGTAAGCTCCGATGGCAGAAATTGTGTCTTCTATACCTAGTGCCTAGCACTTGGCAAGCACTCCAGACACTTCCTGAACACTGGTTAGCAAAGAAACGTAAATGGTCTACATTTCACAGAGATGATTAGGGAACTTGTCTAAGATCATAATGGCAGAATTAAGATTCAAATTTGTGCTGACCAGAGCTGGGGTCTCAAACCAAGAATTGTCCTCACTCTAAGAATTGATCATCAGCCTTAAACAAAATACCAGCCTTCTTTTTCAGCAAAAAACTGAATTATTCACCTAAGAATGCCAATTATCTTTGCCTTAATGACATTGGACTCAAAGCCAATTTCCCCCCAAATAAATAACAATAAAAACCCAGGTCCCAGTGACTAACGCCTGTAATCCTGGCTACTCAGGAGGAAGAGATCAGGAGGATCAAGGTTTAAAGCAGTCCCCAGAAAAATAGTTTCATGAGATCCTATCTGGAAAAACCTATCACAATAAAAGGCTGGTGGAATGACTCAAGCAGTTAAGAGCTCCTGCTTAGCAAGCACAAGGCCCTGAGTTCAAATGTCAGTGCCACCAAACAAACAAAACCAATGTCCTTATCAGAGTGGCCAACTATAACCCATGGTAATTTCTGTCCTAGTTAAAACTATACTGTCCACACCAGAAACTATTTACAATGCTCCAAAGCAGGTTAAGATTTCTACTTTACATAAAATCATCATACCAAAACCTTTTAATGTAGAATTTTGACGTTTAGAGGAAGAAAAGCCAGACAAATTATTGTGAATTTGATTTCACTTAGCATCCAATATAATTTATTCTAGTAATAAATTAACAGTTATAAAAATGTTGGGTGCTAACCTAGAAAAATACTTCTGAATGTGTACATTAAAGTATATGCGGAACCCTTTAAAACAGTTGACTTAATTTTCAAACTTAGAAGTGTAGTAACATCGTTATTGAAGAAAAATGGATTCCATTCTCTGTAATTCATGATTTAGGGTTTTTAAAGGTTTCAATCATTTTGGTTCCTGCAACTTCCACATCTGAAATGAGAACTGACAGCTAGGATCACCTGACCCAGTCTCCAAAGTGTACAGATGAGGAATCCACTTGCCTTGCAAAGACAACAAAGCTAGTCAGACAGCACCTGGGTTACCAGTCAGGTCTCAAGAACTGCTCTGGACAGGTCTGTCAGGCTACATAGGGCACACAACACACAGAACTCCAGCCACATCTGAAAGACCCAGGTTTTACTTCCTGTTTAACATAGGACTGGTTCCTGGTATGTTCCTTTGTAGTTCACAAACTTAGTGACTCAGTTGTTCTAAAAACAAAACCATTCCTATAACCACAGTGTATCAGCAGTTAGGATTGCCCATCCATTTGTTTCTGTTTTCCTGGGATGTTTGAAGTTGGGCAACTTTTCTTCTTGTTCCTCTGTGCTCACAGTAGACTTACATCGAGGGTGTCTGCTCGTTTGAAATTTGGCAGCAGCAGAGAAAGTTTAACATTAGTAGTATCTATCAAGCCAGCAGTGCAAGCATGGGACAGTTCATTCCAACAGAGCTAGTACACACCCTGCTCTGTTCATCTGAGCACTTACTCTGCTTTGCAGAGTGGTGTGGATTATTTCTGGGTCATCAGTGTTCCAAACAGCAATGAGATTTCTTGTCACATCAAGTATATGCCATATACTGCACCAAGCACTTCTGGCATATAATTTTAAATTTATAAGCCATTAGGTTCAAAAAAAAGTCCACTTACAGCCAGGTGTGGTGTGCATGCAAGCACTCAGTAGCTGGACTGACAGCTTGAAGCCAGCCTGGTTTACATGAGACCAGCTCAAAAAAAAAAAAAAAAAACCAGCCAAACATGTACATGTTTGACTTTAAACCTTCAAGTGAGTGCAGCACACTTATCAATCAGGAATAGAACATTCATATTTTAGCAAGTTATTTTCTAATTGCAGGAACAACATACTAGGTATCAGTGCCTTTTTCAAAACTGTATATATACACAGCAAAATTCTGTTTATAAAGGAATTTTCAGATGTCCATGTAAGTGATTTCTTGCTTCTCTCAGCACTGCAGCAAGGGAAGACTACTAGCCCAGTTTATGTATTTTTCTTTCTCCAGAGCAACGTTTCTTAGCAGAAATGCATGTCTGATTTGCTTGCACACTATGGAGGCTTATTATATGTGCCCTCATGGGCATATTTGTTCAGAGTGGACCTCCACAGTCAACACTATTCTCCGTTGTAGATGCTTTACCTCTTAGGGATGGTGACACAAGGCTGTGACACGCTGCAAGCACTGCCACCAGCCATGAGGACTTGGCATTAACCCCTATATGAAAGGCAATTTCCTCAGTCTCATCAAAAAACAAGTAGCTAGCTGTCAACCCAGCACTCAGGACGCGGAGGCAGAAAGATAGTTAAATTTGAGGCCAGCCTGGGCTACATAGTGAGACCCTGTCTCAAAAAAACTCCCCTTTTTTCGCTCAAAAATTTTTGTTCTGACATCAAGTATTTCATTTACTAAGCTGGCACTTTTTACTCCTCATTTTTACCAATTTCATTTCCTTTGACTGTTTTTCTTTTTACCTTGTTCTGACTTTCAAGAAATATGCAGAGTAGAAGGGACTCCCATTTCTTTGGCCAATGCAGTTTAGACTGTTCTTCCTTACTCACTAACTCCTAACTAGGGAGAATTGTGGCCTATCATGTCTCTTTAACAGGACAACTACACTGTGTGCATGAAATGTAACAAAAATGGCGTGTACACAAAGCAAGAACATTCCAGGGATGGCAAGATGGTGGAGGGCTTGGTGAGGGAACTGGAAGAGCAGAACCGACAAAACAACAAATTTTTCTTATGAGTTAGAACAAAGCTGATGTCAAATTTCAAAGAAAGGAACAATTTTAATCATTTTAATGACTAAGTCAAAAATATAATATTTTAAATTAAGGAACCCTAATACTGAGGTAGATGTTGCTATTACAGATACTGAATTAGGTTTCAGACATAAATATGATGAAACGAAGTGAGAGAAAGCACTGATTTAAAATTACCTTCCTTTAAATTCAGATGGATAATTAAGAATCTTTTCAATTCAAAGTTCTAAGCATGAAATCCTGGTGTGGCGAACTCCGCAGCTGGGGAAAAGAGTCATGCTCTCATGGAGCAGTAAGCCAGAAGGCAGCTGTCTGCGTGGAGGAGCTGGTAACTCACACGTGATGCTTCCACCTTGGCTCGTCCCCAACTGTTTAGGATTTGGATTCTTGAGGTTTCTTCAGCATTTAACTAATTCTTTGTTGGTTGAAGGGGCTGGGACTGTTTCTCCACACATAAACTGATCCTATGGCGGAACGAGAAATGATATTAACCACTGGGTTTCTGTGCTGCAAATGTAGTACTTTGTTTTGCTGCACCATCAATCCAGCTATTAGTTTTCAACTGAAAAGAGCCAATGGCAGCACTATAATTGGATACTTAAACGTGTGTTGGATTTTAGAACTGAACTATTTAATAAATTTCTACACGATGGTCTAAATTATAGCTTGCTTTGCATGAGGCTCCATTTCTCATTCCCATTTTCCCTACACCCATTTTAGAGTTCATCCATAAGACTATCAAATTTCTTACTTAAGACTCCACTGCAAGCAGTGACCAAAATTCTGGGCAGTGTGGTCGTAAAAACATTTAGGTTTTTTCTGTTGAACATCTTTGGGTGAAAGATAATTGTACAACTAAAGATTAAATGAAATTGGAAAATTGTAAAGGTGCAACTAAGAATTATATCTCAACCAAGATAATGGAGAGTTCTATGTATAAGCCAAGCAAGAAATAAGACACAATTGTTCCCCTCAATATGTGTTCAGGAGCTCTGATGAACAAGTTTAATTACATATTAAGTAGAAGAGAAGTAAATTAAAACCCTCACGATTATTTTTCTTTCATTTGATAATAAGTAACCCATAGTTTTCATTAAATTTTCTTCATTACCCTTTCCAATGCCAAAATGAGTTTCATAATTTGGGCTTTAAAAATTTTTTAATGTATGATATGGCTGTTTGTTAATAATTTTAAAAGATTTTTTAAAAAAATAACATGTTACCTAGCACGCTATTAAGAAAAACTCTTCTACACTTACATATCACAGATAGGCTGCTTTAAGATCACTGCTGTTGCCTCCCCCATTTCCCATGTACCCCTTACTTTGTCATAGATCACTTTTATAATGAGAGAGCAGCTAGGACACGTTGCCACGTCTTCCCCATTCTCCAGATCTTCCTATAGCGAAATCAAACAACGTGTGGTCAGCATAGCCTTCCCTTCACCATCTCCTCCCCTCAACCTCGCCCCGTCTCTTGGTGGTTTGCATTCCCCCAGGATGCGTGATAGCCCAAAAGCTTTCCCCCTTTTCCCCTCCAAGTGTCACTTACGGGAAACACCGGGAAAATTAGGCGAGGTTCGCTCGCCTTATAACCCATGGAAAACAAAAAACACTCCCCTTCTCCAAGGAAGAATCCCAGGAGAGGAACAGGGCAGGGAAAGCAGCGCTCCTTGCCAAACTCAAGGCCAGAACGATGGACCCACTACACTTTGGTGGTGGGGTGGGGGGAGGGGGCGGGTTACTCAGAAGCAGGGAAAAGATGACGTGGATGACTCAGAGCCGCCGTGAGGAGCGAAAAGGCGCGTGCTCGAGTGAGTCGCCGGGCAGAATCCTGTAGTTACCTTGGTGATGGAGAAGTTGTCGCCGCACGGACAGGGGTAGAAATATGTCTCTGAGTCCTCGTCATACTGGAAGTCCTCGATCTCCACCTCGTCGTGAAACACCGCCATGGTCACTGGAGCCGGCGAAGGGCTTACGCCCCTGCAGTCTAACACTACCCAGGCTGCTCTAACTTCGCGGGCGCCGGCCCGGACCCGGCCTTGTAACCACGAACAAGGTCTGGAAAGGTCGCTTCCGGCTCGTAGACAATGACGCAACCCCAGCCTTGAAGGCCAATTGGGTAACCGGGTTGCGGTCACCATGGAGATGGTTGAGCTAGGGGAGGAAACGCTGGAAAGATGGCGCCTCTTGCTCAGCAGTGTCGCGCACCGCTCCTCCCATTGGACGGATAGCAACCAATAAGCACTCACGCTGCTGCTACGTCACGTCTGGGAGACCCTAGATGCTCCCAGGAGGCGAGGCGGAATTTGGCCGAAGTTTATCAATTAGGGGCCAGCGGCGGCTGTGTCCTTGTGTCACGCAACTGACTTTAGAAGGTCCCAGAACAGCACACGGAAGGCTGCGATCTTCCATCCGCCTTCTGGAAAGGGAAGGCGCCGCTTTGCTTGGTCGCTGGCGGCGGCAGGAGCACCTCAGCGTCTTCTACGACCACCCCCCTGTGACTGAGAGCAGCTCTTGTGGAATTTGGCTTCATCGAGTAACCTTGAGCTCGGGATGACATCCAGCTTATAGTTCCTGGCTGCAGGTACATCCCATCACTTTTTCACCCCAGACATCTTCACATTTTCTAAACTGTGTTGCTAAGAGGACCAGCACTTTGTTCTAATCCTTCATTTGCCAGTGATAACGCAGTAACAGTAATCACATCACTTTTTATTATTGGGAATTCATTATGTGCCACGTGTTATTCTTCCGTTAACCCTGGAGATTTAAATTTCCATTTTATTAGTCTTTAAACTTAGTTACAGACCGTGAGCATCTTGACCAAGATAACAAACCTAGGAAATAACGAAGAGCCTGACTGTCTCCAAAGCCAAAGAACAAATTACTTATGTCAACTCCAGTTTCTTCCTCATAAGAGAAATGGTGTCATAGGGCAGTATCATCAGCTTGGGGCCTCTGTGTACCTTGAAGCTAAACGCAACCGAAAGGTGGTTTGTCATGAAAGCAGTGCTAATGGCTGTTTTGGTACAACCTCGGTACCATGGTGCATTGCTCTTTTTCTAGAAGTTACTCTTGTCTCAGTAGAGAAGGTAGTGCAGTGTAGTGAAAAAACTCAGAATCTGACTTTATTACAGTGAACTCTGGAAGTTGGAGATTTACTTTCGTCGATCCCTGTTTCTTCTGCATGTAAAGTGTGAGTTTTACTGGGTTCCACAATCACATATAACTTATGTAGTTTGCATTTGCATAACGTATACTTTTTTGGGGGGTGTATTGGGATTTAAATTCAGGGTCTTGTCATTTGCCAGACAAATGTTGTACCACTTGAGGCATGCCCCCAACCTTTTTTTTTTTTTTTTTTTTTACTTTATGTGTTTTTTTGAATAGGATCTCACTTTTATGCCCAGGCTGGCCTAGACCGTGATCTTCCTTTTTATGCTTCTCATGTAGCTGGAGGGATGACAGGTGTGCACCACTGTGCCCAGCTTTTAATTGATTGAGATGGGTCTTGCTAGACTCCCCCCCCAACACACACACACACACACACACACACACACACACACACACTGGCCTCCAACCTTCATCCTCCAGATCTCTGCCTCCTGAGTAACTAGGATTACAGTAGGTACAAGAGAGGCTGATGCTGGCAGAAATCAAGAGGATCACATTAAGGCCAGCCTGGGTAAAAAGTGTAAGACCCTATCTGAAAAATAACTCAAGGCAAAAGGGGCTGTAGGCATGGCTCAAATAATAGAGCACTTGCCTAGCAGGCAGAAGGCCCTGAGTTCAAACTTGTACTACCACCACCAAAACAAAACAAACAAAAAAAAACTAGTAAGTTTGAAAACCTAAAAAGAAGTCTTTGGGAGGAAAAATCCAGAAGCCACATTAAAGGAGTTTATAAAAGACTTTTGTTTTTGTGTAATTGAAGATCTACCCAGCAATTAGGAAAAATTTGAGATTTTTTGAAGGGTAACTAACTGGTGATTCTGGTCTGTATGGGCAGAGGAGAAACCCAATCAAAATCCCTGTATATCTTTAGACACATATTTCCAGGTAACCGCTTAGAAACAAGGAAAAAGGGGGCTCACAGTTGAGAACCATTTTTAGTTCTTATATAAGACAGTTTCCAGTGTATAGAAATTAATTCAGGCCAGGCACTGGTGGCTCATGCCTGTAATCCTACCTTCTTGGGAGGCTGATATTGGGAGGAAGGTCACAGTTCAAAGCCAGCCTGGGTAAATAGTTCAGGAGACCACATCTCTGTAATAGAGCAAAATGGACTAGTGGTATGACTCAAGTGGTAGAACACCTGCTTTGCAAGTATGAAGCCCTGAGTTAAACCTCAGTCTCACCAAAAACCAAAAAAGAAATGGGTGTAGATATATTTGGCTCATAGGAAGTATAAATTGATAGGTCTTTTTTAAAATTGGTGCTGGGGATCAAATCTAGGACTTTTCAAGATGCTAGACATACTCTCTACCACTGAGCTACCCTCCCAGTCCTGGTAGGCCGTTTAGGACCTATCAAAAAACAATTTGCTGGGGCATCTTAAAAATCTGAAATTAGTTGTCTTAAAAGTTTGTATTACTTAAAATGGAAAAAGAAAAACTAATTAAACCAGGTTCTGTGCAAATAGGTATCAGTCCCATCTTTAACATTGAAAAGTCTGAGGTGTAGATGCTAAGGAACTTGTTAAGGTAAAGCTAGTTAGTTGGCAGTCAGCCATAGTCACAACCCACATCTGTGATCCTAGAACCTAGGATCTTAATTAACTACAGTGCCATTTATGATGTAAGGTGCTTCAAGAAGAGCTCAAGAAAGCAAGCATACAGCAGTGCTGATTCCCTTGAGACCTCCATTTGTGGGGTTCTCCTAAGCCTTTTGTACTGTTTTCATCCTGCCACCTACTGGCCATCCCTCTTGGTTGGCCTCAGGTGATTCTGCCCAGTCTGTTTGTGTCTGGTGAAGAAAGTAAAACCATAGCCAAACATGGTTTTCTTTTACTTCACGTAGCACTTATAAAGAAGACATTATAATGACTACTAAACTTTAGATTTATTCTTAAGAGGGAATAGAAACATTTTGGAATGATACATATTTGGACCCTGAGGGTGTGACAAAAGTAGATTCACTAGTTGCTAGAGTCATTTGAGATCATAAGTTTTATTTTATTTTATATCATAAATGCTAGCACTGAGTATCTAGAAAAGTAGCAGAAATTCTTGGCATAAGAGCAGACTTACAACTAGGTCATATGGTGTAATAAGAACTGTATTTGATAAGTGCTATTGTAGATCAGGCCACAGGGAGTACGTTATTGGCACTATCAAACCTCTACTTTTCTAGTTTGTTTTAGCATGAGGGGGTAATGTACTAAGATTTAGTTATGTATTTTTAGTAACACTCTTGCTTGCTGGGTATTTCCACAGATATTTTATTTATCCCTCTGAACAATCCAGTGAGGCAGCATGGGTAAAGGGTTACTTGCCTCTCCCCTCCCCAAAAAACCCCAAGAAGTAGTTACCCAATGCTAGTGATCCCAAATTAAACACTCATTGTGTACCACATGTATACTGCTGAGGTTCCCTTACCTAATGCTGGAGTCCCATCAAACACTCATTGTGTACCACATGTATACTGCTGAGGTTCCCTTACCTAACGCTGGAGTCCCATCACTTCCTCGAATGACACCTAGGATTGTTGTGTACATTTACTTTATTTCAGGGCATTCATGCTCTTTGAGGCATTTTTGTTTTTTCTTTTTCTTTCACTACTGTCTCACACCCCATCCAATCTACCAGCAAGCAATAGGGCTCTAATTCCCAAATATATTCCATGTTATCTACTTCTGCCATCCCTGTAGCCGTTGGCCTACCCTAATCTTAGACTGAAGCCTCTTAACTAGACTTCCTACTCTCACCATTCTTCACAAGCCAATCTTGACAGTCAGATATAAATTAGAGCCTGTCCTACTGATTTAGAGACACTTTTGCTTCCCAGTATCCTTAGGTTAAAGTTCATAGTCTTACCGTGGCTATGAACTGCTGTGATCTGGGACATGCCTAATTGCTTAACTTCCTTTCATGTCACTCACACCCCCAGTCACACCTGCCTTGGTTCTGCAAACTTTTCAGGCTTGTTTTGTGTTGTGCTGTTGTTTTTATTAATCCCTCTGCCCAAATGCTCTACTTTTAGCATCTGCTTGGTTGCCTCTTAGTGTCCTGGTCTCAACTCAGGTGTCATCACTTCAGAGAGGCTTTCCTGATACTCACCCCAACCCTTGTCACTTCTACTTCCTTTGTCATACTCATCGCAACCTGTAATCCATATTAAGCTGTCTCTTGCACTGTAATAAAGGCTTCATGATGGCAGGAGCATGTGTCTGGTTTTTATTTTATCTCCAATGCCTGAAACAGTGCCTGGCACCCTGGAATTGATGAATGAACTGAGTTTACTTGTTGAACTGAACCTTGTGAAATTAAGCTTAAATCTGATTTGTTGCTTGCAGTTACTTGTTTTGCTATTTACTTAATGGATATTAGTTTTGTTTAGCATTTATAATTTGTCTGTTTCAGAAATAGTTTGTTAAAGTGTCTTAGTAAAGTAGAGCTTGTGAGGATATAAACATTTATGGAGCATTCTTCTGTAGCTTTAGAAATTACTTAGTATATGTTGATCTGCCTTGGCTGATTAAATACTTACAGTGAATGTATGAACACATTAAAATTGGTAGTTTTTTTTTTTTTTTTTTTTTTTTAATACCTTATTCTACGGACTGGTACTTTGAAGGCATTTTAAAAAATATATCCTTTATTTGCCAGTAGGTGGCACTCTTGATTATGATTACTGCTACAAAACAAGATTTTAGAATTTTAAAGAGAACAATTGTTTTATTGTTTTATTATTCATATGTACATACAATATTTGGGTCATTTCTCCCCCTGCCCCCACCCACTCCCTTACCACCCACTCCGCCCCCTCCCTCTCCCCCTCACCCCCTCAATACCCGGCAGAAACTATTTTGCCCTTATCTCTAATTTTGTTGAAGAGAGAGTATAAGCAATAATAGGAAGGAACAAGGGTTTTTGCTAGTTGAGATAAGGATAGCTATACAGGGAGTTGACTCACATTAATTTCCTGTGCGTATGTGTTACCTTCTAGGTTAATTCTTCTTGATCTAACCTTTTCTCTAGTTCCTGGTCCCCTTTTCCTATTGGCCTCAGTTGCTTTTAAGGTATCTACTTTAGTTTGTCTGTGTTAAGGGCAACGAATGCTAGCTAATTTTTTAGGTGTCTTACCTATCCTCACACCTCCCTTGTGTGCTCTCGCTTTTATCATGTGCTCAAAGTCCAGTCCCCTTGTTGTGTTTGCCCTTGATCTGATGTCCACATATGAGGGAGAACGTACGATTTTTGGTCTTTTGGGCCAGGCTAACCTCACTCATAATGATGATCTCCTATTCCATCCATTTACCAACGAATGAGAACATTTCATTCTTCTTCATGGCTGCATAAAATTCCATTGTGTATAGATACCACATTTTCTTGATCCATTCGTCAGTAGTGGGGCATCTTGGCTGTTTCCATAACTTGGCTATTGTGAATAGTGCTGCATTAAACATGGGTGTGCAGGTGCCTCTGGAGTAACCTGTGTCACAGTCTTTTGGGTATATCCCCAGGAGTGGTATTGCTGGATCATATTGTAGGTCAATGTTTAGCTTTTTAAGTAGCCTCCAAATTTTTTTCCAAGTGGTTGTACTAGTTTACATTCCCACCAACAGTGTAAGAGGGTTCCTTTTTCCCCGCATCCTCGCCAACACCTGTTGTTGGTGGTGTTGCTAATGATGGCTGTTCTAACAGGGGTGAGGTGGAATCTTAGTGTGGTTTTAATTTGCATTTCCTTTATTGCTAGAGATGGTGAGCATTTTTTCATGTGTTTTTTGGCCATTTGAATTTCTTCTTTTGAGAAAGTTGTGTTTAGTTCACGTGCCCATTTCTTTATTGGTTCATTAGTTTTGGGAGAATTTAGTTTTTTAAGTTCCCTGTATATTCTGGTTATCAGTCCTTTGTCTGATGTGTAGCTGGCAAATATTTTCTCCCACTCTGTGGGTGTTCTCTTCAGTTTAGAGACCATTTCTTTTGATGAACAGAAGCTTTTTAGTTTTATGAAGTCCCATTTATCTATGCTGTCTCTTAGTTGCTGTGCTGCTGGGGTTCCATTCAGAAAGTTCTTACCTATACCTACTAACTCCAGAGTATTTCCTACTCTTTCCTGTATCAACTGTAGAGTTTGTGGTCTGATATTAAGATCCTTGATCTATTTTGAGTTAATGTTGGTATAGGGTGATATACATGGATCTAGTTTCAGTTTTTTGCAGACTGCTAACCAGTTTTCCCAGCAGTTTTTGTTGAAGAGGCTGCTATTTCTCTATCGTATATTTTTAGCTCCTTTGTCAAAGACAAGTTGGTTATAGTTGTGTGGCTTCATATCTGGGTCCTCTTTTTTCTGTTCCACTGGTCTTCATGTCTGTTTTTGTGCCAGTACCATGCTGTTTTTATTGTTACTGCTTTGTAATATAGTTTGAAGTCAGGTATTGTGATACCTCCAGCATTGTTCTTTTGACTGAGTATTGCCTTGGCTACTTGTGGCCTCTTGTGTTTCCATATAAATTTCACAGTAGATTTTTCAATCTCTTTAATGAATGTCATTGGAATTTTGATGGGAATTGCATTAAACATGTAGATTACTTTTGGGAGTATAGACATTTTTACTGTGTTGATTCTACCAATCCATGAGCATGGGAGATCTCTCCACTTTCTATAGTCTTCCTCAATCTCTTTCTTCAGAAGTTTATAGTTTTCCTTGTAGAGGTCATTCACATCCTTTGTTAGGTTTACACCTAGGTATTTGATTTTTTTTTTTTGAGGCTATTGTAAATGGAATTGTTTTCATACATTCTTTTTCAGTTTGTTCATTATTAATGTGTAGAAATGCTAATGATTTTTCTATGTTGATTTTATATCCTGCTGCCTTGCTGTAGCTATTGATGATGTCTAGAAGCTTCTGAGTAGAGTTTTTTGGGTCTTTAAGGTATAGGATCATGTCATCTGCAAATAGGGATATTTTGACAGTTTCTTTACCTATTTGTATTCCTTTTATTCCTTCTTGCCTAATTGCTCTGGCTAGGAATTTCAGTACTATGTTGAATAGGAGTGGAGATAGTGGGCATCCTTGTCTGGTTCCTGATTTTAGAGGGAATGGTTTCAGTTTTTCTCCATTAAGTATAATGCTGGCTGTAGGTTTGTCATATATAGCTTTTATAATGTTGAGGTACTTTAAGAGAACAATTTTTAATAATTAACATTTCTTTGTTTTCCAGTTGAAGTGAGAAATAGACCATTCAAAAAGAGTCACTGCAGGTGAATCCTATCATAAAGACAGTTCATTTTAGTAATAATTGCTAAAATAGTAAGTAGGACAGTATTTCTATATTTAACTATAGAGCAGTTAAATTTTATCAGAGGCTTTGGCCTTAAATTACATAGCTGTATCATTCTAGTCTTTGAGTATGGCTTTGCTTTCTTCAGCATTATATGAACTCAACTGGGCAGAGCTGTAAGAGGAAGCATCTATGGCCTAGATAAGAGGGATGGCCAGCAAAGGGTGAGATGAAAAGAGTATCCTAAGAAAGCAGGAGTTAATACAGGCCAAGGAAGATGAACAAGGCAAGCAGTAAGAGAAATAATCAAAACAGAGAAGTGGAAACCTGGGCATGGTGGCTCATATCTTAGCTGATCAGAAGGATTGTGGTTCAAGGTCAGCTGGGCAAAAAGTGAGAGAGACCCCATCATAACAGAAAAGCCTAGACATGGTGGTACACAGCTATCATCCCAGCTATAGTGTGAAGCGAAATAGGATCATGGTTCAGGTCAGCCTGGGCAAAAAGTAACCAGAGAAAAAATGGCTGGAGACATGGCTCAAGTGATAGAGCATCTGATAGCAAGCATGAGGCCCTGAGCTCAAACCCAAAGTACCATCAAAACAAAACCAAAACAGAGAAGTGGCAACATGAGGGGAAGAATTGATGGGAAAGGGTAATTGAGAGTGGGCTTTCTGTGAGGTGGTGCCTTCTGATTATAATGAACCTTTTCTTTTGCAGCTAAGACCCAGTAAGGCTTTTCTTGATTTCCCAAAACACTGTTCTTAACTTCTCTCTGCCATTGCAGGAATTTTGTTCAAGTTTCAGTATATGGAAAAACTTCCTGTGATCCAACTGGAGTATATCCACACATCTCAGTATAATACCAGGACCAAAGTACACTGTATCAGTCAGCCACCCAGACATACACTTAATGACTTCTAAAGTCTCATGGACTCTTAAAGTAAGTTCCACCTTCCTTCTTTCAGTGATTAGCATATTGTGTTTGGTTTAGCACATTTGAAGTTGAGAAATCACATTTAGTAGTCTTTCGTGAAGTGAGAAAGGTCTTAAACTTTTTCATTTACTAGAGAGAGGAGCCAGTAACATGTTAATTCACAATGATCATACTCTGGAAAGAAGAAATAGGTCTTATACCTCAAGACTAGTTAGAAAGCAGTGAACTTTAAGATATAATGAATAAATTACATCTAACTCACTTTGCCCCTTGACATTTTTAAAAAATTTTTTTACCTCTGCCCATTAGAATCTGAGCTTTTTGTAGCACCAGAGTGTAGGCCAGTGCCTACCTCATATTGGACTCTTAATAACTATTTGTTGAATGAGGAACTAAATTAATGAATATGAAGCTTCATGGGCTGGCGGAGTGGCTTGAGTGGTGGAGCGCCTGCCTAGCAAGTGTGAGGCCCTGAGTTCAAACCCCAGTGCTGCCTAAAAACAAACAAACCATTGAAGCTTCATTAATTGGCTTGAATAGTTTTCTAACACTAAATTTATTAATTAGTTTATATATAGTGCCTTCCAAAGAGTTCAGGGAAAAAAAAGTTTGCATACATTTTCATTTTTTCTCAAGGTAACTAGTAAGGACAGATATGGCATTACAGTATGTTAAATGTGACTATTTTGGGCAAAGAAGTATTTAAAAATTGGCACAGGAAAATGGTATGGAAGGAACAAAAAAAATTAAAAATATATCATTTGACTCCTTATCAGTGATTTTCCTGTAGTACAATAGTTTTAAGTATTGAAGTGTTGGAGAACCTTTCTGTGTGTATTTTTTTAACTCTTTTTTTTTTTAAGTATAACATACAAACAGAAAAGCACACAACTCCTAAGAGTTTATTCAGGGTGAGGGTACCTAGCCAATCAGCACCAAGATAAAGAAACAACCTTGTCAGCAGCCACCTCCCAAGGGTAACTGCTAACATAATTTCTAACATCAGAGATTAATTTAGCCTGCTTTTGCACTATGTATGGCTTTATCAAAGAAATATGTTTGAGTTTCAGCCTCTTTCTTTCATTATATATGGTATTTATGATGTTCAGTTATATTATTGGATCTAATCACAGTTTATTCATTCTCATTCATTCATTGTGTCATATATATTTTGTCTATTTGTTTACTCTTGTCAGTGGTCTTTTGAATGGCTGCTAGTTTAGGCTATTATGAATAGCATTATTATCTGTGTTGGTGTTTAATATCTGGGAACCTTAGCTTTTTATGTTTGGGAGCCTCAGTAAATTTATCTGCCTCTTGCGCTTTATCTAACAAAATTTTTTAAATTTAAGATTCATTATTAGTACAAGGGGGTTTCTTGTGAAAATGCAACAATATATTTGGGGCAAGTTTAACCTTTCACTAAGTTTTCTTAACCTCTCTTCTCCCTCCCTTTTAAAAAACAGTATTTGATGGGTTTCTTTGTACTATTTCTATACATATGTATTCAACATACTTTGACCCCCTTTACCTCCCCATTTCCCCTCCCCCTCCTGTTTAAACCCCCCCCCACAGTGTCCCTTTTGTACTCAAGTCCCATTATTATGGTCTAACAAGAAACATTAAAGACTTAATGTGGGGCTCTTCAGGTAGAATATAATTATTAGGCAGTTATAAAATCTGTCTTCTATAATAGCATAAGATTAGTCAGGTCAACTTGGTCAGAGATTTTGGAAACCAGTAGAGAACATGAATATAGCCACATGCCATGTAATGACATTTCAGTCAATGAAGGACTGTATACACATCCCATAAGATTATAGGGAGATGAAAAATTCCTATTGCATTGTAACATTGTAGCCCTCTAAATATCACAGCATAACTTGTGTTTGTGATGACGCCACTGTAAACACACCTGCTGTACTGCTAGTCAGATAAAAGTATAGCAGTGCAGCTATGTACAGTGCATAATACTTGATGATAAGGCTATGTTACTGGTTTATGTATTTACTATCCTATACTTTTTATCATTATTTTAGGGTGTACTTTTACTCACAAAAAAGTTTACAGTATAGGAATATGCCCTGTTATGCCGGCAGTAGCCTCATACATCTCATGTTTACTGTAGCTCTTGATTGCATCAAGAGTCCACATTGAGTAATTAATCTACACCATTGAAGTTTGTGTGAGTGTACTGTATGATGTTTGCACAGTGATGAAATTGTCTAATGAAGCCATTCTTAGAATGTGTCTCTGCTGTTAGTGATCATAGCTGTATTCGATAGCACCAGTCATTACATACTTATGTACTATGCATATACATTGAATCAACTCTGAATGGTAGGAATTTTGCAGGTGAAGTTAGGACTTTGCTTGTTTGTTGGTTGACCAACACATAACTGCACACAGAAATCTACTCTTTTCACTACCACCCCCCACCACCAAATAGTCTGCTATTTCCCCACTTTCTGAAAATTATTTTAAATTTCAGTTTTATGTTTGTCCAGGAAATACCATGGCTTGTACTGCTGCTTTGATTCCCAGGTTGTTGCAAGGCTTTGTCAGAGCCATCTGCACTCAGGCTGCTTTGTGGAGGTTGACATCTGTGCGCCACCTTAGTCTTACCAGGTGAGTCGTCAGCCTTCACTGTCATTTGTGGTTGATTTTCAAAGCGATCTGACCTACTGATGGTTGTGGGAGGTCATTAAATACCCCAAAGAAGTAGCATTTAGCTTCAGTGTTCATGCCACTGGCAGCTTATTAAACTTCGATTAGATGTGAAATTTTCACTGGCCATTTTGTAGGATCCATAATACTGTATTGCATTGTGAATAGCCATGGTATTACAAGGGAAACTAATTTTATTATTTTATGAGAATAATACTTAATAACCTAATTTTACTTTTTATTAAAGCATAATGAAATCCGAAAGGAAAACTGATCACTTGGAGAGAACTGCAAGTGTCGTTCGGCGGGAGGTTTGTATCTTTGGGGTGTGACAAGGTTTTTCTGACTGGACAGTTTGCCCACAGTTAAGACCAGCTTACAGGACAGGCATTAGTTCAGAATGGTCCCTGTGAAGGACAGATGGGAAGTTTGTTATTTTCTGTTCTGAAATTTTCTGAGCAGGACATATGGTAGTTTATTTTAAAAAATGACAGAGAAGTACTCAATTTTTCCTTTAAACTTAGAATAAATGGATTAATTTTTGATGAAGGGAATATAGCAGCAATTAAGGAAACAGTTCTCACAGATACGATGTTTAGGGTTATATTTTAGAGATAGAACTTCTTTTAGAGCCTATGTTTTATGAATGGCTTACCTTTTCTTTTTCTTTCCTTTTTTTTGCACCATGTCTCAATGTCCTTGCATCCCTACTTTAGCAACACTTCCTATTTCATCAAGGCAGTACTAACATCTGAAAAAGGAAGGTGGATGAGCTCTTGTTGCCCTTCCCATATACAGATTTTTTTCATCATATTCACAGTGTAAAAACTAATCTGCCAGCTGAAAGGTGTCAAGGGCTGAGCAGTAAAGGATCTTCACCCTTTACCTCAGTGAGTAACCCTATTTTCACTTAAGAACATAAATTGGATATTTTATTTTGCTTTCTGAGTTATTTCACACATATTCAGATATATTTAGCTTAGTGTTGTAAGTCTATTTAAACTAATAGTTTAAAAAAGCCATTTTATACACTTCTACAAACATCAGAAATTTTATTGTCTCAGTAATTTAATTTTATGTATTGGTAGAAGACAATTTAATGGGATATTGTTTAGACCCTGCTTTTAAAAACTAATTCTACTTTCAGGAAATTGCTTTGGGACTAAGGGTGATGTGTTTCTTGATTTGGCTTTAAGTTGATTTTTTTTTTTAAGTCTGTAAAATTAGCTTAGCAGAGTAAGTTCATCTGAAAATACTTTTTGTTTGTTGAACATAAAAATGCTGATTCTATAAATGTGAGGCTTGTTAGAATTTTGTTTTAAAACTGAAAAGCTTGCCAGTTGTGAAGAAAAAGTGGTATTTCCTGTTATATTTTGAGGTAGGTAGATAAATTAAAACAAGTGTTGGCAAACTTTCTGTAAAGGGCCAGGTAGTAAATATTTTAGGGTTGATAGACCATGCTGTCTCATTTACATCTGAACTCTGTCTTCATAGTGTGAAAACAACCATGACAGTATATAAACAAATGAGTGTGACTGTGTTTCAGTAAAACTTGATTTACCCAAGTACTCAGACTAGGCCTAAAGGTAATAATTGCTGGTCCCTGAATTAGAGTACTCATCTCAGGATTTTACAGAACAAAATTATTGGGACTATCAGGGGTTATTCAGATCCGAATTTAGGACAAAGACAGTCTCTGTAAACTCTAATAGTATGATTGAAGAGTTGAGAATTTTAGTGCTCAGAAATCAGAAAATTCCGGGTTAAAATTCTAATCCTGTTACTACTTTGGAGGAGAGTTCTCCTCTTTGTCTATAATTTCTGTTGTCCCAAGCAGAATGAGAACTGAGAGGAGATGAGAAGAATTAGAAAAAGCTAGATGATCTCTGGGACCACCATTTCATCAGTGTATGAAGGCATCAGGGAATCCCTCCAGAAGGCCCTACTAGCCTGGACCAGTTCCTCATAGTCTTTGTCTACTCTTGTCATTAATTTTTTTTTCAGTACTGAGATTTGAACTCAGAGCCTCATGCTTGCTACCGGTTGAGCCATGCCCTCAGCCTTTTTTTCTTTTGATATTTTTCCAGATAAAGTCTCATGTTTTTATCTTGGGCCGAGCTCTCACTGTGATCCTTCTACCTGTGGCTTTTCCCACAGCTAGGATCACAGGCATGAACCAAAACACCAAGTTTGTTGGTTGAGATGGGGTCTTGCTAACTTTTTGCTTTGACTGTCCTTGAACCATGACCCTCTAGATTTCTGCCTGCCAAGTAATTGGGATTACAATCGTGCACCACATTGTCCATCTTGTAATTTGTATAGCAATTACAGTATGCTTTACAAAACTCCCCATGTATCATTTAGTCCTTCAGTTCAATTTATGTGGCAGCCTAATGATAGGATGTCATCTACATTTTACAAAAGAGGAAACAAAGCCTAGGAAATGTCTTATAGGTTTCCCGAGAGCCAAAGGAAAGCTGCAGCTCAGAGTTCCCAAGCTCAAAGACCCTAGTTCTACCTCTAGAGTGAGTAGAGAATGGAGCAGTCGCTCATCCAGAAATGTCCTTTCAGTATCGGGCATTGTGTTCCCTCTGGAAAACTTGCAGAATGTCTGTTTTATGATGTTAATGTAACTAGTCTGAGATTATGCTGAATTGAATGACATTTGACTGTTCAAGTTCATGTTTTTTTTTTCTTAAGGATCAAAGAATAAGTTTGGGTAACCTTAGAAATGTCAAGAAGATAAAAGTACAAGTATTATGAAGCAGTAAGGATTGTTCAGCAAAACATGTATTTTTCTGGGGTCACTCTGTACTTGACCTCTGCAGAGAGTAGCCCACTAAGCTAGATGGACTGTATTCATCAGTTTGGTGGGAGAATTTGGCAATGCAATAATTGTGTTAATTAGCTAGTTCTTAAGCAATCATTTATTCATTTGGAAATGTGCCCAGCTAGGTGTTGGGCATTGAAAGTGATAGACAAACCCTTGCCCTCAGGTTTTAGTGGAACTCTGGTCCAGAGAAACTGATTTTGTGCACCTAATTGATTTTGGAAAAGCTACTCTTTTTCACCTGTCCTACTTTGCTTTTTTCCTACAATGGTTTATGTTTATTGTTGCCTTTTTGTTTTCAAAGCATTTAATTACACGATAGGTTGGTGCTCGATTCTTACAACCACTCTGGGAATGAGGTGCGGGATTCTTTTTCTGTTTTACAGAGGAGGGACTCAAGACTCAGATTTAGATAGGATGATCCTGCTTCCTGATTTGCCTGGGATAGTCCCGGTTTGTGCTGCTTGTTCCTAGAATAATTATCAGTAGCATCTCCTTTTACTATGAAAACTGACCTGCCTTAAATGATGAGTTACATTGCCAGCCTAAGTTTAAAGGACTTGTCCAAATGGAACACTCAGCCTTTGAACTCAGAGCTCTGATAATGAAGTCAGCTTTTCTTACAACATAAGAATGTGTCACTTGGTTTAGACACTCAGGGTTTAATTGAGCGTTGTGTTGCTGGGCATACGAAAATGGGGAGTTACTGATGGCACAGTGGTTAGTTAATAAAGTCAAAGGGCTGGGCTCCTGGGGCAGAGGCCTTTGGAGACCCTGTGGTTCGCAGTGCTGATCTTCAGGTGCTCATATTCTGCTTGACTTGGGGTTTTGCAGAGGTGTGGGTTTGAGTGGGATGGGCTGCCAGCTGGAGAATGGACTGTGTCCCAAGCTTAACCTGTACAGTTCTCTTCTAGTCATGATTTGTGCATTTTGAGGAGATTGTGTGCTTCAGTGTGAGGAAGGGGACATGTCTTTAGCATCCTTTATTTCTCAGTAGCTGTATACCTGTTTGCTTTGGTTATCAGCCTGATGGTCAGAGAACCTTTTATAGATAGTCCAGCCTGAATAAGTAGTGCTTGGCACTCGTAGCCTCACCACAGTGTCCCTAGTGACACATGTGGTAGTAAGACACCCAGGGCACCTGTCACCTAACAGGGGCTCCAGAGAGGCTGGACTGCAGCCTCTTGGAGAAACTCCAAGGTAAGCACAGCCTCATGGCCTGGAAGCTGGCTGTGGCTTCTTGGTGTTTACAACTCACTCTGCTCTGCAAAGAGAAGGAAGCTCCTTTGGGAAAGGTGCAGCTCTGTAGCACCTAACACAGTGCTAGCATACCCTAGGTACTCAGTACTTGCCTCATTGAGTAGAATAAGCAAGTATTAATCTCAGTTCTGTAATTGATTATTTGCACTGTCAGAATGAGTTACTTTGTGAAGTAGGACCAGTGATGATACCCATCTTGAGATGAGGGGGTGATGCACATTTAGCCTATAGTTCTGTAGAGATAGAAGCTATAAAAAATGGGAATGTTGCCTATACTTACACCACAAACCTAACTGGGTAGTGCCTAAAATGTAATGGCAGTGCTTTTCACTGGCACACTCTTGTTCAATAAGCTAAACAATCCAAGAGGTAAGGCTGTTTTCCCTTTTTCCCCTCAGAGACCCAGTCAAGTGAAATGAGTTTTATTTTAAAATCACCAGCCATGTATCCAGTGTCTACCAAGTGCCCAGTGCTGTTCCAGGTGTTGGGATTACAACAGAGCATGAGGTAGGCAAAGCCCCTGCTGTATGTGTGAGTTTCACTGTGGTGTGGATAAGCCAGAGAATGTCAAAAGTGGTAAGAATGATGAAGGAAATAAAAAGAGGATTATAGGAAGCAAGAGTGGCTAGGGACAGGGGAGTCAGTATACATCCGTGCTTAACATTTGAGCTGAGAGGAAAGAGCTGGCCATGTGCACAGCATTCCTGGCAGGTGGACTGGCAGAAGCCAGGATTTTGAGGTAGGAATGAGGGTGGCGTGTTCAGAGGAGATGGATGGGTGTGAGAGAAGGTAGAGGAGGACAGGGGCCAGGTTATGTAAACTGCTGGGGGCTTGAACAAGGAGTTGAACAGAAGGTTGTGAGCAGGGCAGTGAGTGATATTTTCATTTTAAATAGGTCATTTATTTGCTTGGATGTGAGCTTTGACACTAGGTTGGAAGCTGGTGGTATACAACAGGACAGGTAGTGGAAGTGGTGGTGGGGACAGAGATGGGTCTGGGACAAAGTTAGGGCCGATGGGGGTCACAGATGGAGATGAGAGAAGAAACCAGGATGTTTTCTAGCATTTGGGATCTGAATAATCTGGGTAGACAATGATGTAATGGTGGTGATAAGGATTTGCTACAGTAGAGAAGAATGTGTTTGGAGAAGGGGAAATAAAAGCTTGGTTTGAGATAATCCTGGAGTATGGAAAAAGATGGAGTTATAGATGAAACAGGTTA